ACGTGTAATGGCCCAAATTAATTTGTACACTGTCTGCTACTATCAAAACAGACGGTTAAGCTTGCAGTTATTAAGAAGATGAAATTAATGATAACGCTCCGAAATCGAAAGCAATTTGTTGTTTCTAGTTACAGAGCGTTTAACATTACATACTGCATATCTCCATGACAATATGACGTCAATAACGGAATAAATAGTAAGCTGCTAGTTTTAAATAAGATATTGGAGCCATTCCAAAAATTAATTTTTGTCGTAGTCTTTCATTGGTAATCCTCAAATTCGTTGTTGTATCCATAAAATATTGCGAAGCATTACCACAGGTATCGGAAGGGGTATATCGAGACAGCTTACTGCAGTGTAGGTCTCCCTGCAGGTACAGCAAGTTCTTCTGCTTGTGGATTTGTTCGCATAACTCTCAAGTTTAATTTTTTTTACTTCTTCAAGACCTAATTTCAATTATTTGTCTTGGCTTTTGTCTGAAAATATTCTCCTTTAATCTAAAATATAATGACTACGTGAATTTTATTGTACGTCATCGTTTTTCCATCTTCTTCTTAATCTAAACTTTGGCGAACTTCGGTTAAACAACTGTTGCATGATTATGGAACCTTATTTTATCATAATTAATGAGGAAATCAATTGGCTGCAATTGCAAACTGTAAAATGAGGGATGTACACATTTTTTAATCACCCAGAACTGCAGCATTTTGTTGTAGAGATACTACTGTACATTTTTAACTGTTTGTTTAAGCCTGCAACGTTTTTGTTTCTCTCTCTTTGATTTTCGTAAATTCATTAAATCGGTATAAAACTGTCTGGAGGGTTCACCGTCGTTGCGAGACCTATTTTCAGGCTATTCATCGTTGACTAAAATTAATTGTGTTTGCCAGAACTTTAAATTCTTACTATAGAGTTCGATCCTCCATCGTAGTAAAATAGGCTAGAATTTATTTTTTTAATATACAAAATTTAGTCATTTTAAGCACCACTCACTGAAAATTTTTTAGGACGTCTTGACAACCTAATTTAGTAAGGTCTTAGTGTTGGAATTTGTGCGCGTTTTTTGCTTCAAAAATTTGTCAACGGTGAAGAATTCAAAATAAGACTAGCAGTTAGAAAGATGATATTGAGCTTTTTTCACATGACATATTTTTTAAAGAGTGTTTTCATGAATAGAAACAATATTAGGTGTGTTTGCGTTTAAGTTGTATTTTTGCCTTGGCAAAACGTTTTATTTGTTGATGGTTCAGATGTTTCTCACTTTACCAATCAGTTCTACTAGCCTTTATGTGGTAATCTTAAGGTTGTTTTTTTTCTTTTTGCTGAAGTTTCATTTTTTTAAATATTTTGTAGTTAGGCAGCTTAAAAATTGGCAAGTTATTTTCCTTTATAATTTCATAACAGTAACTTTTAGATTTGGCTTTCATTTTTCTGATGATCTCTCTGAAATCTTTAGTTTTTTCTCTTCTTGTCGTGGAAATTTACGGGTACGTTTTTGTAATATTGTGATGGTAAAGTCACTCTTGAATAATTCATTTTAGAGGCTTTGTAGCCTTCTCTGCGTCTAAAATGTCAGGCGACACCCATGTAGAAGATAAGAAGCCAGATGTTGGTTTGAAAGAGAGCACTTCAAGTTCAGGAACCGTCAGCAACAGTGCGGATGACCTGTTGCAAAGAATTCAGGAACAAATAGAAGTAAGCTTAGACTGTGTAAATATGGGTAAAGGTAGTTTGGAAATACAGAGCTTTCTGTTTTCAGTTTTACTTGGGCGATATTAATCTTCCCCGAGACTCGTTCTTTCAACAGGAAATCAAGAAAGACAGTGGATGTATGTTTTAAATTAGTTGATTTGTAAATTTGTTGTTCGGCCTTTTGAGTAGTATACTGTATAGAAGAAGAGTATCAATCAGTTATATCAGAGAGTTTTTAATGTAACATTCTTTTGATATTTAACTCCATTCATTGTGTTTGTCATGAATAGTAGCATTTGTAACTAGGATAGTAATTTTAAAGGGATCCCCATGGATGTCATGTTGAAATGCAATCGTTTGGCGAAGCTCACAAAGGACCCCAAGCAGATTGCAGATGCTCTTTCCTCATCTTCCCTAATTCAAGTTTCGGATGATGCGACTAAAATAAGAAGGAATCCAGAGATTCCTTTACCTGAAAACTCTTTGGAGTACTGGCAAGGATTGAAGAAACAATCTGTTTACATTGTAATTTTCAGTCTCATTTTCCCATTACTAAAAATTTCTGTAAACTGCTTGATAGTGGACGAGGTTTTATGCCTAGAGTATTCAGTTTTCATCGTTAGTGATGAGGTACACTTGCGGAGGCTTTCTTTTTCTTTTTACGGCCTCTGGTCACCCAGATCCAGGAAATTTATAACAATTTCAATTTTAGAAGGGCTTCCGGGAAAATACGACGTTTGATGAGATAAAAGAGTTCGTTAGTGGTTTTGGTACTATTATCAATTTACTTATGCGTCGGGAAAAGATTGGCAGGCACAAGTTCAAAGGATCTGTGTTTGCCACTTTCAAGACTGTAGAAGAAGCGGAGGCTTTTGTGAAAAATAATGTGGAAAAATTCAAAGATATGACATTAATCAAGATGATGCAGTAAGTTTTCCATGATGTAGTAAATTTTTTTTTCTTTTTATATTTTTAAAATCCCTTGGCTCATCTGAATTGGCTTTGAAAAACGATGAAGACGCTTACTGCTGATTAATACAGTTTTTTAGGAATGATTACTGGAGCAACAAACAGAAGCAAATGAAGGAAAGAAGAGTCGCAAATCGGGAAGCAAAATTAGCTAAAAAGGTTGTACAAGTAGTACATTTTACAACATATAGAAATTAGGTTTATTTGTCTTAGTGAAATGAGAGAAAGATATTGATTTTTTTCAGCAGAAAGAGCTAGATGAGCAGAGGAAAGCTAATGTGGATGTTGTGTATGCAAAAGGCTTGGTTTTGTCAATCGAAAACCTTCCAAAGGAGGGGACAACGATGCAGGCGGTAAAAGACTTTTTCAGTAACTACAAGAAAGTTGCGTATTGTGTGTATGAAGATGGCGACGACAAGGTATTCATTAATTCCTTTTCCATTTGCGTAGGCTAGGTTTTATTTCGTATGTTTAGGCACAGCTTAGATTTAATGGCGAAGAGAATAGTGCAGCTGAAGCGTGGAAAGCAGCTCAAGCTGCTGGAGAGGATGGGAAAGTGATTTTTGGTGGTAACGAGATCTCCGCTAGAGTTCTAGAAGGAGAGGAAGAAGAGGCTTACTGGACTGAATTCAGCATAAAGAAAGCTAATAAGTGGAGTCGTAATAATAACCGGAATAAACGTTTCAAAGGAAAAAGTAATTTTGATGACAAAAATGGTGCTTGTGATGGTCCAAGTCAAGAAGGAATTGGTGGAAAGAGGCAGAAAGTAAAGCTTCAGTTACTAATCAAATGCTCCTGTCTGCATTTCTGCTGGAGGCAGTGTGAAATCATGACGAAAAAGACAGTTCGAGTTCTTTCAGAAAATGAATCGTTTTAAGTTTGGTTTTTAATTATTTCATTCCAGATCGAAGTAGAGGACGAGCCCCCAGCGAAAAAAGCGCATGCGGAACTTGAAGAGGAGAGTGAAACAAAAGCCCAAATTAGTGGAAAAACAGAAACCAAGACCGAAGAGAATACATAAATTGCTGTACCGTAATAATGAATGTGTTAACTTTTGTTGATTTTGGTTGTTGTTGAAATAATTGATTTCGTTTAGAAGAATTCCTACTATATTTTGTCACGAAATGTGTTATCAGAAAGATTTTAACGGTGGAATAAATAAAGAAAACAGTTGGAAGGTTATTAAAATCTCATCACTCTGTAATGCGGTTAGCAAAAAAGTCGGTTTAACTTGACAGGCAAACTCACCGCTGTGAGCTAAATTCTTTAACTTTGTTAGAGTCGGCTCCGCATGGAGCAGACATTCATGTAATCAATGAAGTATGTGCAAAGCGTAGGAGAGTCCTTAAAGCAGGGGTTAAGACGTTTTTTTGCGTCAGCTTTGATGAACGACTACAATTGATACAAATGGTGGTTACGTGTTGACTGCACAATTGATTTGCACAACAGTAAACTGGCGAAGTAAATTAAAGGCTGTTTTCGTGCTTCAGCCTTCTCAAGTCGTTCACTCAGCCGCTTAATTAGGACATCTGTTACGGGAAACGTTAACAGCGCGATGCAAATATAAAAGAGAGACATAGTTACTCCTTTATTTTGCTAATAAGTGGTTGCCAACAATTAGAAGAGGAAAACAGCTGAGCATATTTATCCGCAAACTAGTGTTTCGTAAAGGCTTTAATTTCGAAATCTTCTTTTTTAATGGGGGAATCAGCTATAGCTATAACACTAAAACGTGCCTTTTGTTGCCTCTTTTATTTGGAAACAAATAAACAATTCAAGAGCACAAAAACAAAAGAAGATAAAAGCTTCAGTGACAAAATCTTACGAGTTTAACAGTTGAGTAACGCTAGAACGACGTTATCAAGTCCAACGAGTACTGATAGACGCGGGACGCATATAAATCTGTAAGCCACAGAAGAGAAGAATCATGACATATAGACTTCAAATTTCTTGTTTCTAACTACCACCCTGATAAACCACTTTAACACCCATACTTAAGTCACACAACTCGTAACAAGAAATGGAGCCACTAAAAGATCAGCACCAACAATTCATCACGGAGTAAACAGCTTCATAGTACTTTTCTTCAAAACAGCAGTGCTAGACAGATTTATAACTTCTAAGTCACTGTGACTTTTTCATCGCAGCAATACGTTCCAAAATCGGTGGATGTGAATGATTAAACATGGAGTACAAGTGATCGTCCACGGGTAATAAGAGGTTATCTTTGCCTAACTTAATTAAAGCGTCACATAGCTGATCGGCGTAACCAAGTTTTGCGGAATATTTGTCTGCAGCAAACTCCATTTTTCTTGTGAGTACCTATAGAAAAATATTAAACACATATCACTGCGCAGTAAAAAACCCTGAGAAAGCACAGTTCAAATGAAAAGCATAACGGGGAATTTACCGTAACTAAAAAGGAAATGAGTTCAGAATACGGAGTCATTACGAACTGGCAAACAATAATTAATCCGACAACTGTTGGAGTAGAATCATAAAACCCAAAAGCTTGGTAAAGACTTTTGGCTTTATAAAACCAAGAGAAGGCGAGTAGCATTAAGAGCATGTTAGCCTAAAAAAAAAACATGATGACCAAAACGGTCGGAAAAAAGTCTGAACAACCCACCTCAGCAATAACCAAGTTACAAATACTGTGGTATAGGGCCCAATGACCCAGTTCGTGGCCCAAAACTGCGACAACTTCATCGTCACTCATACCCAGGTCCTTCCTTTTGTCATTCGCTTCCGTTTTCTTTTCCTCTCCAGTGTCCCCAGCGCTCTGAAATAGTACTACCACTAACCCAGCAAGCATCTCAACCATATTAAACCCAAGAATTAAAATGGAAGATAAATGCTGAAACTTACGCCAATCGACTCTTTCAATAACTCATTATTTTTTTCATTAAGAAGTGTATCGTACAAAACGATCCTCTTATTCTTCCAAAATCCGTACATATACGCGTTGCTGTGAGCAGAACGTGCAGAGCCTAGAGAAAAAAAAACGAAAGACAGAAATAACAGTTTACAAACAAGTTTAAACAGTCCTGCGAATTATATGACAATCAATGAGAAGTAGAGTTTTAATTTTTGCTAAGAAACCTTGTACTACCCAAAGTTTGGTAAGTGGAAAATTAACACTTTTCGCAAGTGCAAAGATCTTTTTTCGAAGCTCGCTTTCAGGTAACGGGACGTATTTGTCAAAAAGTGGAGCTATGAACTCTGGATATATCGTCAAAAACAGCTAAAAAAGTAATGAATCACCACGAAATCCATAATTATCACTTTATAAGCATACTAAAAATGTTATCGCCTAAGAAAAAAAAACACTTAGTGACTACAACTTACCAAAGTTGTGGGTGATTAACAAGCAGCAAAAAACTCACAAATATAACAACAGAAAGGAATATCCAGGCATAAACAAAGAAGTATGGTCCGCCATGCTGTACGATATAAATGACAGCAGCAAGGACTGGAGCCATAATAACCAATCCCACCAGCAACTTCTTAATTTTATCTTTGAAGAAGAAGGAAACAGTCTAAAAAACAAGTACTTGGTAAACGAATAAGAAACTTTCCGGGAGCACGGACTCTTCTGTCGATATGAGGCACTGCAAATATTGCAAAAAAATTGGTCTTACTAAATAAATGCTGTTTAAAAAAAATGGTCACCTGTTTGTTGAACCCATGTTTCTCTTCAATCACAAAAGTCAAATAATATTCCCACGGTAGATGAAGAACGGTTTCGACCAAGCCAACGAGGGTGACAAAGATAACCGATTGTACTATCTAACAACTCAATTTTATTTTTCAAAAAATAAATAGAAAAGTCTAAGGGTTGAGGCAACACAAACATTTTACAAAGCTAAATCCAAAAAGTAAAAACAAATGTGAGGAATCAAAACCATACGAGACCTCATTAGTCAGCCCAATTTTTGCAGTCAAATTACCAGAGATTCTCCAGAAAAAGAATATCAGCTCGGAAACAAGAATAACCTGTAATCATTTTATGTTATTTAAAGTAACTGCACCTTGATAATTTTATGAATAATATTCAAAAAAACTTACCGTTTCTCCTACTTGAGAATACATTGAATATATGAGGTTAAAGTCATGCTTGTCTACCGCATAGCTTCGCGCTTTGGCGTAATCTTCTTCAGAAATAATATCCTTTGCTGCATGCGGTCTTGCTATTGTGTTCTTTTGTATACGATACTAAAATTTTAACAACTAGACTCAAATCAAGTGTTGAATGAATCCAATAACATGCGGTGTAAGAAATAGCGAAATAAGCCTTTAAAGTGCAAACAGGTGAGCAAGCGTTGGATGAAATATCAGGAATAAATTTTTATGCTAAAGAAAAAATCAAAATAAAAAATACACTAAAATAAAAAGAACGAATTGAAACAACGTTGATTTTTTAAAATTACAAATATGCTGAAAGACTACTGCAATAGATAGTGAGTTTCAGGAGTATGAGAAAGTCATATAAAACGAGGATTTTGTCCTCCGGAAAAAAAGCTAAAATATGGCAAACCTGGCGATAATTCAGATAGAAGTCCCATATGAATGCAGTCCACGAAATTGTTAATATTACCCAAAGCATTGTTCTGTTCTTTCGGTTTGGTGTGTTCCAAAATTTTCTAAAAGTTTTCATTGTTATTCAATGGACGTCTGACGATGATAACCCGTCCTATCGATTAACACAGACCTCATATAATATAACAAACGCGTGCTGCATCGGGCTTCGTTTGTGGTGGCAAAATAATCAAAGAAGCAATAAAATGTAGTTACAATCCTCCGAAAACACAATCTTCACTAAACAAAGATAAAAATGCATCAGAAATGCAGCATTATTTTGTTGATCCCCGTTATCCCCCAACTAACGCTTCAAACAATGTAATTAGCGCATTTTATCCAGTTTTATGAGCTCGATTTTAGCACTGAACACTTTATCCAGCCGTACAAGGTTGATCTTATCACTTAACGGATTCTGAACAAATCGTGTTAAAGTAAGATCATCACCGGTTATTCACAGATGTTCCATATAGATAAGCAACCAATGCGGATTATACTTAGACCAGTTGATGGCGGCTATACGTGTAATCAGATGAACACTTACATTAACCTTTTCCGCATGAAGCTAACAACGGCAACGGAACCGCATTAAACCGGTAAAATTTTCAAACAAGAAAAAAACCTCCACCAAATTGTAATATACTTAAAATGCCGTCTTGGATGGTTGCAAAGACTTTTGGCGTTATATTTCACAATGAAGCAGGCTAAAACTTTGAACCTAGAATTGATGACAAAAGTTAAAGTCGTACACCGGACTCCCATAGTTCTATTTATTCCTTTGTATTTATCACTCGATTTAAATGGGCGAAAAAATGCGCAGATAACTACCTTCGCAGATACTATTTAGTACTGTGAATAAATACATTGATGTCCTGGTGTGCAAAATAGCTTGGCAAATTGTCATTTTGACGTCGTCAAGAAGCATTTTAAACTGCTAAACTTCACCTCCAATCCAAGTGGTTTTTTTTTTTTTCAGCTGCTGGTGATTCAGTGATGAGAATTTGTGAACAGAAAAACGTTCATCTACCTGTATTCTCGTTCCCATACTCGGTACAACAATCCATGTTACAAATGTATTTATTAGTGCCAAACATTATTAGTCAATATAAGCGCTGAAAATTTGAGCTAGAACAAGAAAATTTAGCGAAGCTTCGAACCTGAAGTAGTCCAGCAGTGAAAATTCGCTTTTGCTAAAGAATGTGAACGACCGATTAATGAAGCTAACGAACAGGTCGCTACAACGATTACAACTGCAACAGATAGCCCGGCAAAACGTTGTGAAACCAGATTTGAATATAAACC